CTGTGAATAATAGACTAATAATAATATAAATATTGCAAATAAAATGGTAATAATAAAGTGATGCACACTAACCAAACACACTGCTCTGATCTCTCAAGATCACTAAAGTGCAATATGGTGATACTATGATGAATATTAGTGATAAATCAAACAAAATAAATTAAACAAAATAAATCAAGAATAAATGACCCCCTTACTACCCATAAACGGGTAGTGTATGGTGATTAGGCAAAACACGTGGTCCCTTATACACAGGGAAAATTATACATTTATGTTAATAGTGCAAAATAGCAATTATATAAAGTGCCTTAATATCAATACATATAAATAAGTAAATAAATAGGCAATCTCAAAAAAAAAAATATATAGTCCAAAAAAAATATATGTATATGTATCTGTGATCTTCAAATGGCAAAAACAATCATGCAAGTGATAAAGTGCACTGGTGATCTTCACTCAAGTGTCAAAAAATCCTCAAAATGACAGCAATGCCTGCTCACCTCCACAAATTGACCCTAGGGGCCAACACGCTTATAGGATCACCCCCAACAACGGATCCTTAAGGATATTTCCTCATCACAGGGAAAAACAGGTAACATATAAGCTCCTCTGTTCAGCACCTCCTGCTCCTTGAATGGTCCTGCAATACCGGTTACACTCCACCTCCACTCAGGATCATGTTAGTGAGACACAAAAACAATTTCCTCCATAGTGCAATATGTTTTTAATGGGTTAATAAGATAAATAGCCAGTGTTACACTCACATATGCTCCAAACAGAAAACGCTTGTCACCACATCCTATGGGTGTACTGCATGGGCTGGGTGTATCAATATGGCCTCTGTGCCTGGAAGTGCATCACCGCGTTACCGGAAATGGCATACCGATGCGTGCCTGATAAAGTCACGAGGCATGTGACGCAACGCGTTGGTACGCCATTTCCGGTAACGCGGTGGTGACGCACTTCCGGGCGCAGAGGCCATATTGATACACCCAGCCCATGCTGTACACCCATAGGATGTGGTGACAAGCGTTTTCTGTTTGGAGCATATCTGAGTGTAACACTGGCTATTTATGTTATTAACTCATTAAAAACATATTGCACTATGGAGGAAATTGTTTTTGTGTCTCACTAACATGACCCTGAGTGGAGGTGGAGTGTAACCGGTATTGCAGTACCATTCAAGGAGCAGGAGGTGCTGAACAGAGGAGGTGGAGAATGCATTACCTCGCTCCCTTATTACACACTGCTGCTGTGTGTGAGGGGAGAGGGTGGTGGGAAGACAATGGGGGCACCTTTGCCTGAGTAGACTCAAATACTTGCACCAGCCCTGCCTCCATCCAGTGTTGGGCCAGTCCTGATTGCTGTAGAGGGTGGCACTATGTAATGACGTGGTGTAGCTCTCTGCAACCGTATCCTGTAACTCTAAAGTGGAAGATGAGACCTTGACATCACATCCTGGACTCACAGGAAGTGGGTGGATCGAACTTGGGTGTCACTCAATCTAGAAGAAGAGCAGTGAGTTTGTGGTGGACAACACCAGACAACACCAGAGATCCAATCCAGTCGGAGCTGCTTTTTTTTTTACAGATGCTGGCAGCTAGGTCTTTAATTTTGGACTCGTGTTTTTAAAGCAGGATTGTCAACTTTTTCCATAAACTATCCTCATAAAAGTACAGCACACCACACATATATATAAAAGGAGAAAGTTGAATGATAAATGACTTTCAGGTAAACTTTACTGTAATGACTCATACTGTGTTTTAGCTGCAAATGCATTGTATTTTCCCTGTAGAAAAGAACCCTGAGCATTTGAATAAGCATTTCAGCCTTATTTATTCAATGGTTTTGTGTATATGTCAATAAGGATTTGAATGTGTCTTTGCCTACTGTGATTTTTGCATAGCCCAGTACAGTGTGTGGAACAGCTCAGCCAGACACACAGCTTTGTAAGCACATCAGTGGCAAATTAAAGCAACTGCAGTTCCATCGCGAGAGTGCTTCAGTGCTACACTTTATGGCTTGAACTGCCTGTTTAATGGACTGTGAGATCTTTCTCATTTGCTCCGAACAAAAGTAAAGGAAATCTGCTTGGCACTCAAAAAAAAAAAAAAGATCATTCTAGTTAAATCCCTGGCTGCATTGGAAATTAGAAAATTCTAAGCACAGCCATCAATCTTTATGAATTTTCAGAAGTAGAACGCCCTACCATTTGAGTGGAGAGGATGCAATAGACTTTGACCTCTCATTTGAGAATTTTTTTTTGCTTCATTACCTGTCTTATTTAATTTAGATAAAAGAAACATAATTATATGCACATATATAATAAATTGAAACAAGAAGATAAAGTACAGGGCCATTTTATTTCCTGGGATACGAATAACCACAACGATTCAAGAAATATGCCATTCATAGCGGCAGGGGGAAAATACGTGTTTGATTCCTTAACAATCTCTATCCAACTGTGCGCCCTACTTGACCTACACATTGCATAATCCACTGACTAGCTGAATAGGTAATGAAATACAAATTACAGAGGCACAAATAACGTCTATTCATCTGTGCATTAGGACACAGTGATGTCATGGAGCATGGTGGCACTGACATGATTAAACACAAAGTAAAGATTTATATTACATGACATTTATTTACAGTGTTTATTTTAAATGGCAGGAGACACCACTAACATTATATTTACTTGTCATTAGCTGTCCTTGTAACTAGATAGGGTTAGCGCATTATTGTGTACCATAGGCCAGAAGGGGGTGAATTGCTAGATTTGTTCACATTAATGTAGCAAAACTGGCTTTTATGTCACATTTGTTACCATCATTTTATTTTGTTTTGCTAACAGGCCACAAGGAAAATTAAGTAAGGAGTGATCTATACTGGAAACTAGGAATTTCCTATGGGGAAGACCCTATATATCCACAGGAGCCCATAGGTGGAGGCATAAGACATAAAGAGAAACTAAACCCATCAATTTAATGGTTTCAAAGAACAGTATTTTTTGAGGCATGCTGGGAATGCTAACTGTCACATTTGCTTGCATTCTCAACCAAACTGTCAAGCCATTAAATGGCTGGTGTCATAACTGATCACATGTGCAGCACCATTGCAATCGTAGATCAAACAGATGCCAAGAAGCAGGTTCCTTGGCTGAAAGGGATAGGAAGGTTTATTTCTGCTCTAAGAACATATGGGTATTAAATGTAAGATCTCCCAATTAGCAGAGGCTCATGATCCTCTTTCCCCAGGTGCTGCTACAGTAGTGGAACGTAATGACTGTGAGTTAGAGGATCATCTCACATTACCTCCCTCATCCATTCAAAACACCCTCACATAAGCAAGATCTCAACATACAAATTTATTATTATTATTATTACACAGGATTTATATAGCGCCAACAGTTTGCTTGGCGCTTTACAATATAACGGGAGACAATACAGCAACAATACAGTTCAATACAAGAGGGATTTGAGGGCCCTGCTCCTTGGAGCTTACAATCTAGGAGGGAGGGGCTAGTGGTACAAAAGGTAGTAACTGTGGGGGATGGACTGGTTGGAAAAGTAGACGATTCCAGTATTAGCTGAGGACAGGATAGGCTTCCCTGAAGAGATAGGTTTTCAGAGATTGCCTAAAAGTGAGCAGAGTAGGCGATAGTCTGATAAACTGGGGTAGAGAGTTCCAGAGGATGGGGGAAGCTCTGGAGAAGTCCTGGAGATGAGCATGGGAGGAGGAGACAAGGGAGCTAGAGAGTAGGAGGTCTTGCGAGGAGCGGAGAGTACGGTTTGGGTGATATTTAGAGACAAGATTGTTGATATAATTTGGGGCAGAGTTATAAATGGCTTTATGCGTTATTGTTAATGTTTTGAATTTTATCCGTTGGGCAACGGGAAGCCAGTGGAAGGATTGGCAGGGAGGGGTGGCAGATACAGAATGGTTAGTAAGGTCGATGAGTCTGGCAGCAGCATTCATGATAGACTGAAGAGGGGATAGCCTGCAATGAGGTAGGCCAATGAGGAAGGAGTTGCAATAGTCAAGGTGAGAGATAACCAGTAGTAGTTGTGAGGGGACAGGATCCAGGGGGCAGGTGGTGAGACGGGCTTCTGAGAAAACCTTAGTGACCTCTTCAGTGGTGGCAAGGTCAAAAGAGGAAAGTGTTGAGGGAGGTTTAGTATAAGGTATGCTAAGTAGGATGGATGTCTGTGCAGTGGCGATGTCCCAACGAATTGCGTCAATCTTGTTTTTGAAATAATTTGCAATCTCGTGAGCAGTGAGTGAGGTACTGGGTGGGGGTGGAGAAAGTAGAGAGTTAAAAGTAGAGAAGAGACGACGAGGACTGGATGACAAGGTATTAATAAGAGTGACAAAGTAGGCTTGTTTGGCAGCATGAAGGAAGGAATTGCATGTTAAGAAAGCAGATTTATATAGGGTGAATGCTTGTTGAGATTTGGTTTTATGCCACAAGCACTCCAGCACACGACTATGTCGTTTAAGATTTCTGGTGTCGTCAGTCTGCCAAGGTTGTAGTGGTCAGGGCCTGATGCTTCATGTTGTTAGAGGAGCAAGCGAGTCTAATGCGGATGAAAGCGAACTGTTGTAGACAGCAGTGGCCAGGTCAGGGTAGGACAGGGGAGAGATTCTGTCATAGAGTTGGTCAGTTGCAGAGTGGAAAGGAGCAGGGTTCAAGTTGTGAAGGTTTCTGCAGGTAATTTATGATGGTGAGCTTCCCTCTCCTGTGAATGGCATGCAGACAGTCAGGGGACATTTACAAAAACAGCAGAGTGGTTTTGTAAAGGGGGCACTCTTGATGGTATGGAGCCTTTTTGTGTTGGTGGTTGTCTTGGTCCCCAGGAGACATCAAGTGCATTTATAAGAGATTCTGGAGTTTTGAGGTTCTGCTGAGAACAGGATTTGTATATGCTTTGTTTCTTGCTTGTTGGGGACCTAATATTAGTGTTACTAAACCCACAACAGAAAAATCTGTCTGTATTTACAGTAAAGCATGCTGGTTATACTCACTGTGGACCTAAAGGGTTAATCCTCTGCATTGTGTAAATATTCAGTTTGATCCTGACTTCTCTAATCCTCCCCTTTTTCCAGTGTCTCCCTCTTATCTCCTGATAAGACGTATCATGAGAAGACACTCTGCACATGCTCAGTTTGGTGTGTATTCCTAGAGAGGTTTTTGTTTTTTTTCTTGGGAGAGTGCATGTGATCAGCACAGGGCCAATCAGCACTGTTCAGGCAGAGGTCTGGGGTTCTGCATCCTCTGAGAGCAGAAAGAAAACTCTTCCTACAAACTTTAGCCAGTGCTCTGCTGGACACTGATAAAAGTCACAAGACTGCTCTAACTGCTGATGAGAAAAGGTATTTAGTAGTTTAGATTTACTAAAATAGTTGCATTTCCATGTAGTGTGTACTGTGGCAGACCAGATATAGTGAATGCAGGGTCCTGGATTTAGTAACACTTTAATGGACATTATTGTTCTTTAGTATATGAATTCCTCAGTCAGGACATGAAAGAGGAAAGAAAAACTATAATTACAATATCAAGTATTAGTCCTCATGCACACTGTGCATTTTAAAAACGCCAGTAACACTAGCTGTATAAAGTCACGTTAAAAACTCAAGTTTTTCCGCATTTTTTAGCGTTTTTGCATTATCGTTTAGCCACAGTTGTCCACGTTTGTCTTTTTACAATTTTTACACACAAAAAAAAATAATATTTTGGCTCAAAAGAATACCCTAAAACGCTGGTTTGCGACATTTGGCCGCGTTTACCAGCGTTAGAATGTATTTACAGCTAAAAAAACTCCTCTAGAAACTCACTAATTCTGGGTTTGTTTTCCAGGCAAAAACACCCCTGCCAAAAAAATGCTGATTAAAGCCTATGTGTGCTTGGACACCTAGGACAACATGCCAAAAACAGCAGCTGTAAAAACATCCAGTGTGCATGAGAACTTAACAACACAAAATGTAAGCTTTTTAATTAAAAGAAAATACTTTAATCAGTGCAAGTTATGAAAATGAAAAATTTTGATTTTAGTTGTTTTTATAGTTTTCCTTATTATTTAGCAATAAAGTTCTGAAGTTTAGCTACTTAAAGTTGATGTAAATCTCAGCTGAATGACAATTTATTTGTTAAAGCACTGTGTATTGTAAACAATTGTCATGTTTTCATAAAATATTTGCATTACACATTTTTTTTTATTTTTTTTTTAATTGGAAGCCCATGTGAAATGCAACACAGCTTTGTCATCCTATACCCTTTGTCAACCTGGGGACAAAGCTTTGTCACCCTACATCCTTTGTCACCCTGGGGACAAAGCTTTGTCACCCAACACCCTTTGTCACCCTGGGGACAAAGCTTTGTCACCCTACACTCTTTGTCACCCTGGGGACAAAGCTTTGTCACCCTATACCCTTTGTCACCCTGGGGACAGAGCTTTGTCACCCTACACCCTTTGTCACCCTGGGGACAGAGCTTTGTCACCCTACACACTTTGTCACCCTGGGGACAAAGCTTTGTCACCCAACACCCTTTGTCACCCTATACCCTTTGTCACCCTGGGGACAAAGCTTTGTCACCCAACACCCTTTGTCACCCTATACCCTTTGTCACCCTGGTGACAGAGCTTTGTCACCCTATACATTTTGTTACCCTGGTGACAGAGCTTTGTCACCCTATACACTTTGTTACCCTGGGGACAGAGCTTTGTCACCCAATACCATTATATTATAAAGTACATGAAAAAGAACAGAGTATTATTTATTGAGAGCTGTAGGTTTAAAAACATTACAAATTATATTTGAAATGCATTAACAGTAATAAAACTTGTATGAGATTAGTGATTAGTGAATGGGTAGATTAAAAGCTTTTTCTTTTGGTATCATTCTGTCTTGAATGCACATTACGGTCAGCCAACTTGTAGGGAATTTTGTGCACTATGCCACAGATTTTTCCCTATGCTTTTTTTAATTTTAAAAATAAAATTGAGACACCTTTTAATTACTTTACAAACACTTTTTTTCCCTAGGCTTTTTTATTTTGTGATGTAATCTTCTTTGTCAATCAAACAATTCAGAACATTGTTTTTAAATAGCAAAGTTTGAGATCCTTTTAGAAACTATGTCATCTTGCCTATAATTTAAATCTGCTAACATAAAACGGATTCCTTTTGATTTGTTTTATTTCCGATACACCGCAGAAGATAAGTAATCCTTTCTATAAATTACTTATCTATCGTACCCAGATTGGAAAAAAAAGCCTTTGTCAAAAAATATAGGTCATATGAATGACTCTGACTTTGTCGGATACAATAGGCCAAGTCAAATAAACACGATTCCTTTGAAATCAGCTTTGTTATAGCTCAATATTTGTTGCCTTTTGTTCATTAATACTTTGGATGGAAAACATGTGAATTTTCTCTCCATTAGCTGTGCATGCCAAGTGAAAGAAAAGCCTTTCTGACACTTGTTATCCAGTTTTTCCTTTGGTGAATGAGATAAGGTTTTATTGAGATCCCTCATATTAAACTGAACTAAGCATGTGCCTAGTGCTTCAGGATTTGCCTGTGAAATTTTTATGTGGGAAATAAAATGAGCAAATGTCACAATCTTGTTTTCTCTATACTCAGTTTTGATGGGGTTATGAAGTGGGAAATATTCACAGGCAATTTTTATCCCGTTAAGCTCTTTAACATAAGCATTAACTGCAACATAAAAATTTTAATTAAGCACTTATTTGTGAGTATATTATTTTTAATGAGACACATACTTAGTTTGATTGATGTATTATATTATGTTTGCTTTACATCCAATAATATTTCAGCCAAATAGTTACAGTCAAAGAAGAAAATGTATGATATTGTTGAAATTCAAAGACATGATTAAAGTAAATCTAAACCCTATCTGGATAACCTATTGGTTGCTAAAGCAATGGATATCATAAACTATTGCCTTGCTTTTTTTCTGTCAGTCGATACTTTTTCATCTGCTAATCTCCTACAACTAGTGATAAGCTAAGGTTCAGGGTTGAACCCAGTTGGGCCTGAACCTGCAAGAAGCTCTTGTATAATAGCAGGCCACCAGCCCTGTTAGCTGCAGGTGGGGAATTTCCTGCCCTGCAACTACTTGCAACTGAGGGGCGAGGTGCTGGTGGAATCACTGACCCAATATGGCCACATGGCATGGCATGTTCAAATGTGGTCATGTGCCATATTAGGTCAATGATGTCACCAGCATTCCCATTCCTTTGCTAAATGCAACTGGGGAGCTGGGAATTACCCTGGCGGAAGATTATTGGGTCTGCTATCATGTGACATCTTCCCATGGATTCAGGCAGAACTGGGTTTGGCCTGAGCCTTAGCTCATCCTAACCTAACCTGTTTGCAGCTACTTCCTGTCTACGTGCTCCCACTCCTGCAGTGGATATACATCGTTGCTTAGGGTGGGCTTCCTGTAGTTGACTATTTTGGAACATGTCTGCATGAGAAGAATCACAACAGTCACTTATAATGTTGTATAGCATGTGATAGACTGGCAATGCAAGAGAGCAAATGGGGAGACAGGAACAGAGTGTTGTCACCCCATAACCGGAAGAGTCTGAATAAGGATCTTCCTATCCCCAGGTGAATCGCCAGATATTGTTTTAATCAAAAAATGTATATTTAAAAAGACTTACCAGTAGTTACATTTGAAATCACATTAACATGTTTGAATATATTAGATTATAGTGGCTGGGTTTAATTTATTGCTGATTTCCTACCTTCACCAAATATATCCTTTTACTGCAGAAAGAGAGGATTTAAGGTTTGCAGGTTTTTATGCCATAAAATAAAGCATACCCATCTTCATTGCTTTCGCTACAACAATGTGTACAGTAACAATGTACCAAGACCACAGCATTATAAATTAAATAAGAAGCTAAATATGCAGCTAAATTGAATACATATTGCACTGGGGTGGTTGGAGCTCATGCTTTCCTTGGCTCTGCTAATATCTTGCAGTTGCAGACAGTAAACTCCTTTAAAGTGATAGTAAAATAAAAAAGTTTTCCCCCTGCAAGATAAAGGCAGAATGTGCTAGTATTGCATACTAACACATTATGAAAGACTTGCCTTGAAACGAAGCCCTCCAGCGGCGAGCTGTCACTGCTGCAGCGGCTTCCATCTTCACCCGGTCTTCCTTCTGGGCTTCCGGGCTTCCAGGGTGCTTGATTGGCCAAGCCACGATGACATCACTCCTGGGAGTCATGGCTGCGGCACAGAGTTCTGAAGGAATGGCACGGGCATGCCATTCCTTCAGAGCGTATGTGCCGGTAATGTCACCGGCTGCTGCTCACTAGAATATCTCCTAAACAGTGCACGTTTAGGTGATATTCATTTTCCCTACATTATAAACTTACCTGTGGGTAAAAATAAAAAAAATTGAGTTTACTACCACTTACTCAGTTTTTGTTTTAATAGTGAGACTCAGGTAAAGGCCATGGAGAACACAGTTTAAGCTTTCCATTTTACATACTTTATATATTTTTTCTTTAGTAACTGTACAATCTCTACGTGGCACAAACTAATAAGAAGTAGCAGTTCTACATGTACATGCTATGTGGTACCTCTATAAAAAAAGAGAAGGCAGTGCTTCCACATTTCGAATTATTGCAAACATGTAGTCTATGTAGTCTAAAATAGATAATGTTTAAAGTACACTTGCCATTAGGTGCTTACTGAACTACTCCATAGATGCAAAGCAGGCATCCACAAGAGTCAACACATTCCTCAGCACCCTAGGAAACACAAGCCCTAGAGCACCATGTAACGCTACTTTGACTGGTCTTCAATAGATAACACTGAAGCCTGACCTTCAGCTCTTTAGTGAATACATTGTGAATGTCCATAACCCACATACCTGGTAATAAATGTCCCAGACACGTTTCTTGCAGGGTGCAGCTCTTGTCTCTGGGTGAATGATGGGTGCCAGTCATTTTGATTGAGGGTTTGCAGTTTTATTGCACATATGCATGGAGAAATAGGAAGGAGGGGAGCACAAGAATACCTATAAAGTCTTAAAACACAGTATTTCTAACATTCTGGGTCTCTCTCTTACAGTTTATACTGGCTGGACTCTGAAACTTTAAAATGGACCTTTGAAAACCTAGGTTCAAGTAGTAAATTATTCTCAGAATTTAGGTAGGACAGTGTGGAATGGCTTTT